TTTATATTGCTGAGCTAAATCCCTGGCCCTCGCATTTACTTTCTTTCTTTCTTTCTTTTTTTTTTTTTTATCAGTACCAGGGATCGAACTCACGACCTGCTTGCAAGGCAGGCGCTTATGCCACTGAACTAAATCCCCAGCCCCCATATTTACTTTCTTAAGTAAACTTTGCTATTTCCTTTGTGCTCATTTAGTTCAATTCCTTGTTCAAGATGAGAAGAACCTAAGGTCTAACTCGAGAAAGAGCAACCCAGAACCCCACTGTGTTTAGTTGGTGAACCACTTTTAGAGGGAAGCTAATTGATAACAATAGGGTTTCACTAAAATGCTAAGACTGGGCTTGAACTTGTGATCCTCCTGTCTCAGTTTCCTGAGAGCTGGGATCACAGTGTGTACCCACTATCCCTCGCTTGCACTTGAATTTTTCTGTTGTTGGTATTGAGGGTAGAACCAGGCTCTTCATATTGCTGCATCTTCAGCCCCATTTAAATTTTTTGAGATAGAAACTCATTAAGTCACTAAATTGCTTACGCTAGGCTCAAATTTGAAACCCTCACATCTCAGTCTCTCTCCCAGGATCTTTGGATTATAGACATGTGCCAGTACTCAGTTTGGATTTGTTTTTGTAGGATTTGGTTTGTCTAATGATACAGTTCACCACGTTGACAGATGATTACTAGTTTTTGTTTGTTTAAGTCCAAGCTTCATTTGAGCTAGCAATCCTTTTGCCTCAGCCTCCTGAGCACTAGGATTACAGGTGGCTGCCATCATACCCAGCTTTACCTCTTTTATTTTTTGGGTACTGCGGATCCAACTCATGACCTCACGCTTGCCAGGCAGGTGCTTATGCCACTGAGCTAAATCCCCAGCCCTACATTTTTAAAGACCAAGCCTTGCTATGTAGTTCAGGCTGGCTTGAACTTTTTTTTGGTCTTTTTGAGACAGGATCTTGCTATGCAATTCAGGCTGGACTTGAGCCCATTTTGTAACCCAGGTTGGTCTCGAACTTGCAACAATCCTCCTGTCTCAACCTCATGAGTGCTGGGATTACAGGCATGTGCCACCATGCCCAGCTGTCGTTGAACTATGTAGCCCAGGCTGCCCGTGAATTTGGAGCAATCCTCCTGCCTCAGACACTATTCTACTGGGATTATAGGTTCATGTTAGCATGCTCAGATTTAAGTATGGTTTTATATATGAAATTGTTTTGGATGGAGGAGGAGGAGCTATTTGTGGTAAGTCTGCCACTTACTATTTAAAATTAATGTCTCTACACTTCAAGGTTAGCATGCAATGCTGTAGGGACTCATTTCCCAGGGAACTGTCACATGATCACTGCTGGCAGACAGTGTGACTGCCAAGCCAGTGTACGTGTATCTGAACGCCATCTCAGTCTTTGCTGAGGCTATTTTAGGTTTTATTATGAGATGTCCGTATTAAATCCAAATATTGTTATTTCTTTCCTTTCATCATTTATCCAACAACAATGAAAAATTATTGAGTTGGATCAAAATTTTTCTCTGTTAACTGATTACTGCTAAAAACTATTCATATGCACTATATGGAACAACGAGTGTTTAAGAAGCACAAAACTAAAGGATTCCTTGCCCTGGGCTGAACAGCACCGGAGATCTTTGCCTGCTGGGAAGCAAGTGCTCCATATCTGTCTGACCCTTGCTCCATCTTGGCCTCCAGTCTTGAAATAGAAAAACTGGAACTGCTAACTAAGTGCCTCTGTTGGTTATGTGGGAGCTGTGGGAGCCAGAAAACTGTTCCTCAGCTCTTTGTGGGTTCTGTGACTGGATCTGTGAAAGGACACGATGATGATGATGATGATGGCGACTTATAAATATCAGTGAGCTTTATTTGACCCTGTGGAATTTGGCAGCACCTCAGTTTATAAAATAGAGTAAGTGTGCTGGTGAATTGAGAAGTTAGTTTCAGAGAGGGAGGGGGACCAAAGAAAGCAGAAACAAAAATCAGACTGATCAACATCAGTTTTGTTTTGTTTTTTTTTTTTATTTTTATTTATTTATTTATTTTTTGTCTTTTTCATTTTTATCGGTACCGGGGATCGAACTCACGACCGCCTGCTTGCAAGGCAGGTGCTTATGCCGCTGAGCTAAACCCCCAGCCCCTCAGTTTTGTTTTGTTTTTAAACTGTTTTGGAATCCTGACACTCCTGCCCCAGCCTCCAGAGTGCTGAGACTATGTTATTTTTTTGCGGGGGGAGGGGGGGGGTGTCAAACTCAGGACCTTGCACTTACCAGGCAAGCCCTTGAGCCACTGAACTAAATCCCTGGATCTGATTATGTTGGTTTAGTTTCCTTTATTTGTGTGAAGAGTAAAACAGAAGGAACTTCATTATCATGCCAATTCAAAGTAGCCTGCTAGTGGAATCCTAACTTCCCAGGTCAGGGAATGATTTAGTTTCAATTTGGTGTTTTTGTAAGAGTGCCTTCATTTTGACTTTTAGTCTGGTGTGTTGGGGCCCAGAACATGAGCTTAGTCCAAAACAATGTCTCCTATATTTTTTATTTAATGTGTCCATGAAATAAACTGACAGCATGTAGATAAGCAAGATGAAAGATACCTAACACTTACTGCACGTGTAGGGCGCATGTGAAAGGCAAGAGGACACTGAGATGCATGCAGGGAGCCAGTAGTGAGAGCAGTAAGAAGCATTTTATCCATTGACACGGAGTATAAACAGGAGCTTATTTCGATCAATATCTAATGGTATAATCTGGCTCTGTGCCTTACCAAATCAGAGTGAAATCAAGGACAAAGGAGGAGTGTTTATTTTTATTTTTATTGTGGTACTGAGGATCAAACTCACCAGCTCACACTTGCCAGGCAAAAGCTTGTGTCGCTGAGCTAAGTCCTCGGTCAAGGAAGAATGTTTATTAAAAAGCCAGAAAAAGCTCCCAATAGTTGGGAGGGGACCCAAAAGTGGTTGCCAGGGGTAATCTTTCCCTAGTTGCTTTTATTGTTAAGTTTTTTGAGACACACTCTCACTCTCTCACTAAGTAGCCCAGGCTGGTCTTTTTATTTTAAAGGGGTAAAATTAAACACAACAGAACAAAATAGGACATATGAAAGCAATGTAAGAGATATAAATTTCTTTTTTTAAAAATTTTGTCTTTTTTTTTTTTTTATCGGTACCAGGGATCAAACTCACAACTGCCTGCTTGCAAGGCTGGTGCTTATGCTGCTGAGCTAAATCCCCAGCCCCAAGCGATATAAATTTCAAAGCTAGATGACCTGAGATCTTCACTGTCTATCATATTATCTGTTTTCTTCCAAATGGTTATCCATGTCTTTGCATACAGAAAGTTTATATAAAACAACATAGTATAAAACTGATCCGAGCAGGGCGTGATGGCTCACGCCAATAATCCCAGCACTTGGGAGGCTGAGGCAGGAGGATCTTTGGGAGTTCGAGACCAGCCTGTGCTACACAGTAAGACCCGGTCTCCAAAAGACAAAAAAAAAAAACAAAAAAACAAAACAAAACAAAACAAAAAACAACAACAACAACAAAAAACCCAGCATGGTGCAGGTTCCAGTAAATGCCTGGATGCTCCAGGTCCCAGCATGGCACGGTTCACAGTAATCACTGGTGGCTCCCGTCCTGGGCTGCCACATCCTGCTATGCTCACAGCTGCTCACCAGGTCTTAAACTCACAGGGATCTTTTTGCCTTGGTCTTGGGAGTACTGGGATTAAAGACGTGACCTAGCATAATGCCTCCTCCTCGCAACAGAGCTCAGACCACACTGTAAAGTCAGTATTTTATAAAAACAAGCTTATTTAAACTAGAAATGGGTCTATGTGGAGTCGAGGCACACAACAAGTGTATGTCTGCAGGTGCCTCTTGACTTCTATCCAAGGGGTTTATTAAAAGAACAAAGTGAAAAGGAAAAAGCAAGGCTGAGGATTTAGCTCAGTGGCATAAGCGCCTGCTTGGCAATTAGCAGTTTGATCCCCAGTACCGCGGGGGGGGGGTAGGGGGGGGAGAGGAACAGGCATCTTCCAGATAGATTGGAGTTGTCCTAAGTCCTTAGTTTTTTTTTTTTTTTTTTTTTTGTCTTTTTTGAGATGGGGTCTCGCTATGCAGTTCAGGCTGGCCTTGAGCTCACTTTGTATCCCAGACTGATCTCGAACTTGCAAGGATCCTCCCACTTCGGCCTCCCGAGTGAGCCACCACGCCCTTAAGATTTAATAATCCACCTGTTTCTTTTAACTCTTGGCCTCAGTGTCCTGCTTATCTGACCAAGCTTGGCTTTCTGACTGTCTTGAACCCAAAGCCCCTCTTGCTGCCCGCAATCTTCGTCGTACCGTCTGTAATCAAGGTGTGCTACAAAGGGCTGTCGAGTTTCCTAGAGGAATCTTGCACCCTCAGGATGAGAGATTCGGCCATGTGGGAATTCAGGGAACCACAGAGGCCTGGTGCTCAGAATGGCATTTAGGGGGTGGGTAAAAGTGAAGCCCCCAAAATGGCAGTTTAGGGGGCGGGGCAGGCTCAGGTCCTCAGGTGTCCGTCAGTGACAGTCGCTGGCTTTCCCTCCCACACATGAGCTTTAGTTTTCCCTGGTCGATATGGTGACCCTTTCTGCCTGGAGTTTGAGGACAGCCCAGCTGCACTCGGCTCCCCAAGGCTTCCCCGAGAAGCGACGGGAGCACGGGCGCGGCTGGGCGCTGCCTAGGCCCAGGCAGCCACGGTTATGAGGTGCCTAATGCGCGATGGTAGGGATGAGCGGCGGAGAGAGGTCGGTGGGGTGGGAACGCAGAAACCCAGGCGGCAGGGGCAGCGGGGTCCTCGCCTGCCCCGAATACGGCGGAATCGCTGCGAAGGAACGTATTCTGGGAGCGTGGAGCCTCGCGGACCACCACAGAGCCGGCCCTCCGCGAAGAAAAGCACCACCTCTTCAGCGGTCCAGAACCTTCGCGAAGGCCGGGGCGGGGCGAGAACTAGTCCGGCCCACGCCGCGGGCGGTGGACTGTGCGCGTGCGCGGCGTCAGGGCAGGGCGGAAGTTGACGTCGCTGCGCCGCCGCCGCATGACGCACTTCCTGTTTGTTGTTCGAGAAAGGAGAGAAAGGAAAGCGCGAGGAGCCTCCGCCGACACCACCCGCGTACTGTCCCAGAGCTGCGAGGGGACCGGCCGCACACCTCCCTTCTTTTCGCCGCCGGTCGTCCGCGTCCTGGGTGAGAGATGGGCCGCCGCGGGCCGAGGTCGGGCGGGGGGCCCGCGCGACCGTGCGGCGGACTTGACTCGCCGCCCTGGCGGCAGCGTGTGGGGTGACCGGGTCGTTGCCGGGCCGGGAAGGCTGTGGAGAAGGGCGCGTTGTACGTGTGGCTGTGTGGACTGGGGCTTTTGGTAGGGCCCGGGCAGGAGGTCGGCTAGGGTCTGGTCTGTTTCTGGTTGTGGTTTTGCTCCGGGTCGGAGTTCGCGGCCGGAGTTCGGGGCGGTGGGCGCGGCGCGCGGATCTTAGTCCGGAGTCCGCGGGTGCGCGCGGGGCGGGGTGCCGGCCGTTTCTGGAACTCTCGGTGATTCTCGGAAGTTTGGGAGCTGTCGGCCTTCGGCGTTCTTACAAGTCCTAAAAACTTGGCCTCGCCGTAGTTTATATAACTGAAGTTTATGTAACCGAAGTTTACGTGAGCGTTTATCTACTTAAGGAAGGAAGACGGTGTGAACAAGGGGATTGTGAAGTGCAAACCTGGCTCTGTCGAAAGGTTTAGGAGATGGCGGTTTTCGTTGGAGGGGATGGGCTGCTTGGTCAGCGCGTAGGAGGGGAAGGGCAGGGAAAAGGATGGGCCACTTTCCAAGGCGGGCTTCAGGTCGGGGAAGAGGGCAGCGGAGTCTTTTGCTCGTGGTCTGGCAATAGGATTTTACGGCTGCTTTGTTTTTGATTTTTTTTTTTTCTTCCTCCAGTGTTTACGGATTGAAGTCAGGACTCAGACACTGTATCAGTGCTCTCCCACCGAGCTGCGACCATAGCCTGGTGGCTGTATTTTTTTAAGCAACTGATAAATTTGGTTGAAAAGTTTGAAAAGTTTAAAAAGGAAGAGGAACTTAGCTAACACTTTCAACTTGATCGCCACTTGTTTTGAGGTTGAAATCAATTTTTCTCATTACCTTACACGCCAGATTGTCAGAAAGGAATGGTGTCCGTTTCCCCTAGTTTTTTTTTTTTTTTGGGGGGGGGTTGGTGCAGGGATCGAACTCATGACCTAGTGCTTGGTAGGCAGGCGCTTATGCCGCTGAGCTAAATCCCCGGCCCAGTTTCCCCTAGTTCTATTCACTTCTGTTTGCTCCAAGCACCCTTGAGCCTGCCCGTGAATTTCGGGTTTATACTTGTATGTCCTGTTGTAAAATTTTTTGGATTATGCAGAATATAAAATTTAGGGCTTTGTTGCCTGTGTAATAAGTAGTTTGTCCATGTGGATGACTTGGCAGGAAGTGGAACAAGAGTTTTCAGAAGTTCGTTTTTTTAAGTTGATTTTTTGGGGCGCTGAGAGCTTACAAGAATCTTACACGAGTTCTGTACTTTATTAAACACTTTTTTTTGGTACTGGGAATTGAACCCAAGGCCTCAAACATGTTAGGCAAGCTATTTACCACATAGTTACATCTTGAACCCTAAGACAGCAGTGTTTCAAAGTTTATTTTCTCTGGATCACAGATATAGCTATGGGAGGTATTTCTGGCTGCAGGAAGACAACTGGAGCTCTGGGTGGGGAGTTTTGTTTCATGCTTGGGAAGACTAAATTATAAATGTGAGATCACTGTATACTCGGATACCTGCAACACAGTGACACACAGAAGCTTTCCTGTTTAAGGAGTCCCATTATTTAAAGTGGTAGAACCTTTTTCTTGACTCTTGGACTGTTCCAAGCAAATGCTTTGGAAAAACTGTCAAACTTCGTTGACAGTTTTTAACCTAGCGCACTCAAAAACTACGTTTAGGGCACCACGGTCCTTTTGCATCTTTTCACTCCCCCCCCCCTTTTTTTTAGGGGACTGGACTGTGTAGTTCAGGCTGGCCTCGAACTTGCAGTGATCCTCCTGGTTTAGCTTCCCAATTGCTGGGATTACAGGCGTGCACAATCACACCTGGCTGTATTGTATTTGTTTTTTTCCTGAGACAGTTTTGGCCATGTATACTTGGCTGGCCTTGAACTGGCTATATAGGTGAGAGTGGCTTCAAACTCGCAGTGATCCTCTGCCTCAGCCTCCCAAGTGCTGAGATTACAAACCTGTGTTACCACTCAGTTCCATGTTTAAAGAGAGTTTTGGAGTACTTGTTACCCACTGCTGCTGGAGGGTAGCCGGCTTGACAGGGCACATGAACTCCACCTTACTGTTGGTCTGCTAGGCTGCTTTTTGCACTGGCTTATTGTTCAGACACTTTGTGATCATTTCAGATGCCTGTTGATGGAGAGCAAGTGAAAAAATAAGCTTTCCTGCTTGATGTGATAACAGCATTCTTTTCTTTTTAAACTGCTTTCCTAATTCATTGGGAAGGATGGCCTTGTTTAATTTCACTCAGAACACCATCTAGTGGTGAAGAGCTTGCAATGGTAGATTAGTGAGTAGGATGGCATCAGAGTGGCAAGATTGCATAAATGCTGTAGTTCTTTTCTGAGGGGTGGAATTTGAGAGCTTGACCTTAAGAAAAAGGTAAATGAGAAGAGAAGCAACGTTGATGGAAAGAGGACTGTAAGGAATGGAAAGATAAATCATGTCCGGAGAAAAAGAGTTTACTAGATATGTGGGCCAGCAAAACGTTTGTTTATTTTGGTACAGTGCAGTTTTGCTTTTTTTTTTTTTTTGTACTGGGAATTGAACACAGAGCCTTGCCAGGCAGGTGCTGTGCTGCTGCTGAGAGCTAGACCCCAGTCCTTATTTACTTCTGTACTGGTGACTGAACCCAGGGTCTTTGCCAGCCAGTTTTTATTTTGAGAAAGTCTTGGTGTCCAGTGTGAGCTCTAACTTAAAATCCTACTGTGTCAGTGCCCCAAAGTGCTGGGGTTACAGGTCTGTCTGTGCCACAACACCCAACTCAAAAAGTTTTCTAACACCAGAAAATTTGAGTTCTGGGAAACAGTAAAGGTATTCAAACTTATAAGGGTTTCAGTACATATTAAAGAGGAGGTTTCAGTTTATATTTCCTCATAGTTATTTCACAAGTTACACATTATTTGACTTGGTACTTCTATGAAAATTGTTAACCCAAACTTTATCAAGATTTTTTTTGGCCATTCTAAATGAAATGGTCACTGCTTCTGGCTGTTGTACTGTTTGTAAATTAAAGTACTCCAGGCATTTTAGGAATCTTGAGTGCAGTTGCAAAAAAGAGCGTTTTATTGGGTCTTTGAGACAGGCTTTCTCTTTGTAGCCCAGGCTGGTCTCCAACTTGTATCTATTTAGCACTGGGATTCTAGATGTGCACCACCATGCTGGAATCAGTTGTTTTTGGAAGGGTGATGTCTTCACACAGCATATAGTTTTTGTGCTCAGTAAAATTCATTCTTTTCCTACCAAAGGCATGTCAATGTTGCTTTTGTACTTGATGTTGAACACACACACACACACACACACACACACACACACTTTAGCTGGTATGTTTCCTCAATCCTTTCTATCACTTTAAGAACTTCTGTGGAGGGCTTTGCATTTGAGATTTTTCACATGTGCCAGTAGAAATGTCTGAGATGCTCAGAAAATACTGAGCGAGTGAATCAGCTTTCCTGATTTGTCAGTATCTTGATTATTTTCCTTAATAGAGTCAGAAGTTAAGAAAGTTGGGAAAAATATGTAGGATATTAGTTCATTAGTACTAGAGACTGAGTTCTTGTTTTGTGGATTATTTTGCTCCCACAAAAGGGAGTCAGGCCAGTAAGTAACAGATAAAGAATGACTGCCACTTTAAAGTACGATGTCTGACTTTAAGTAATAGAAGGGATGACTTCCTGAGTTTTAGTATCTTGTGATATAATAGGTAAAATACAAAGTGCTAGTAGACCTGTGCAGTATGGAATCAAAGTTTGCTTCCATGTTGGCTTAGTTTTAATTTTTCCTTTTTTCTTTTGTCTACCTAACAATATGGAATTCATGAGATTATGAAATGCAGAAACTTCCAGTTTTGTAATTTTTCTTTTGTACCGTAAATTGAACTCATGATTGCCCGAGCTTGCAAGGCAGGCGCTTATGCTGCTGAGCTAAGTCCATGGCATTATCCTTTTTCATTTCATTTTATTTTTTTTATTTTTGTATGGGGATCAAACTCCTGACCTCATGACCTTGCACTTGTCAGGCAGGTGCTTGTGCCGCTAAGCTAACCCCCTCTCGTCCTTCATTTTTCATTTTAAACTTCTTGTTTACTTTCATTTAAGTAAATAGTACTGTACTGAATTGTCATGGTGCCACATGAGATGAACTACTTGCTTAGTACCAAAAATATTTAAAGTGGATGTAGTGGTACATGATGTGTAGTCCCTACACTTGGGAGACTGGTGTAGGAGAACTAGGAGTTTGAGTCTCACTTGGGAAATTCAGCCAGACCGTCCTAAAATAAAAGGGCTGGGGTTAGCTCAGTTCAAAGGCCTTGGGTTCAACCTTTGGTAAACCCCTTGCCCCATTACCCATAGTCCAGGCTAGTAGAAGAAACTTTTTTTTTTGTGGGAGACGGGTAGTGATAAGGTTTGAACCCCCAAGGGTGCTCACTCATGGAACCTCATATATTCTAGGCAAGTGCTGTAACACTGAGCTATATGCCCAGCTCCAAGAAAAGTTTTCTTTGGTACTAGGGATCAAACTCATGACCTTGTGCTTGCGAGGCAGACGCTTATGCTACTGAGCTAAAGCAAAGTATTTGAATTTTCTGTTTTTAAGATAAAGGTAGTGGAATGTCTTTAAGAACATGACTTTTTGAATCATATTACTTAAAATACTGTGGAGTAAGTGGTTTTTTAATGGGTGGATAATGATAGACTTTCTGGAAAAGTCTGCAGCTTAGTTTCACTTTCAGTATTGAGTCTCCTATATTGGAAGGAACAAAACAGCCTATTTTTGGTGGCGATCTCTGCAGACTTTTTTTTTTTGTCTTTTTCCTTTTTATCGGTACCGGGGATCGAACTCAGGACTGCTTGCTTGCAAGGCAAGTGCTTATGCTGCTGAGCTAAATCCCCAGCCCCCTCTCTGC